TTCACTGACAGCAAACACCTTCGACTGAACAAGGTAAGCGAATCGGCCTTTTGCAATATTATACACGGCAACCAGTCTGAGAGACCATTCGGTGTTACACGGTATTGAGTACAACGAACCGAGAATTCTTGATTTTTTCAACCCATATTCATAACTGCCCTGCAGATACAGTACATAAATAGCGTAGAGAACAGTGCATGAAGATGAAATTTGTCTGGTCACTTCGGACAAAAATACGAAAACAAACGAACGATTAGTGAGCGGCCGTCGACTGGTGACACGAGCGCACCGATGCTATGCCGAGCACAAGGATCCCTCCAACTGATTGAAAATTTCATTGCAGACGAACACCTTTCAAAATCATGGCACGCCATAAGCGCCTCGACAAGTGACTCCATTAGATCTGGTCGCAGTCGGATTACTACACCATCCTTCAACAACACAAAACATCAATTTTCTTTTATGCAACCCTGACATTCCTGTTTGGAATGACCACTTCTTGATCGGGCCTCCATGGCCCCTTCTTCCCCTTCTATTTCAAGCAAAAGGAAAAGTTATTGAATTAGAAGTCCGGTAAATTCAAAAAAACGAAAGTTTCAAATATCGGCAAACACACTGGTTTCATTATCCACGGACCAAAAATTATTTCGCGCATTTTGCCGAAAATAAGTAAGGCTAGAAATCGCCGGGCAAACGAATTTTAAGGCTGGACCAAGAAACTTACTTCTAAAACGCTGACTGTGAACGTTTCTTCGCCGCCTTTTAAAGCTCCATCGATAACAACAAATGATGCACCCGTCACTATAACAAATTGCTTTTTCTATGAATTCAGCAAGTACAGGAAAAAAGCGTTCGATATGGGTTTGGCGTGTCACTCGACAACATACCGTCAATTATCAAATGGCCAGCTCCGACCACCAAAAAACCGTGTCACGCACACGTTTTTGCAGTTATTACACAACCTCACAGCTTCGAATGAGATCACACTGCATAAATTCCAACTTCCTGGCCTCTCTAGTTACTGAGCTGAAAGTGATGAGAAAACCCAAACACACAAATACGAACGCACCCGCACATGTACAAATATAGAAGCACATATAAAAACACATAAACACACACACATATACGCACAAATATAAACACACACACACACACACATATACACATACATACACACACACACACAAGAAAATTGGGCAGAATGTACATGTATGCGCGCACAAAAGAAATAAATGGCAACGCGCATCAGACTAGCCGGTGCGATCATGCGTTTTGTGCAATTCAGCCGATCGAACGATTGCCTTTTAATGATTTTCACTGCTTTGTACTTTAGTCTATGCAAAAATAGTTCAAAAATTGGAACGGTTACCTGTTAATGATTTTCACTGCTTCGTACTTCAGTCTATGCAAAAATAGTTCAAACATTGGAAAACATTTAAAAATTTCACGCACCTGCGTATGAAAGCTAAATTCGAAACCTTGAAGGATGAATATCTTTCCGTGATTCCCGAGTTAATAGTTTATCCGCCAAAATTCTCACGAGGCGCGAGAACGCTGAATTTGAATAGGCAAGGTTAAGCGTGGGCAGGGGGTCATCATTC